AAGCGTCTCCAGACTCTCCTCCCGCCTCCCTCGCCGGCCGCCCTGCCCACCCTGCCCGCGTCCGCGGTGGGCTCTGCTCCGTTGGCCTTGGCCAGGACTGGTGCAAGTAGGAGCTTGGCGGGGGAGAGACGGTGGGATTGCATGTGGGTGGGTGTGTCTGCCTGCCTGCCTTCCTCCTCCTCCTCCTCCTCCTCCTCCTCTCACACAAGAGCCACACAGTGGAGGAGGCTATTGTGACTTTCCTGATTCGGTGGCACTTGCAGAAAAACACTTTCAGCCAATCCAGTACCTGGCGTGGAGCCTGTGGACGCTGGGATCGGCCGGCAGGCCACACCAGGTGGGCCTCCCTTCCTGCTGCTGCTGCTGCTGCTGCTTCCGTCCCCTCGCGGCTTGGCCTGCGGCCAACGAAGGACGGGGCTCAGAGCCTCTGGCCTTGGCCAGCTGTGGGACCTGCCAGGCTGGGCCCCAAGAACCCTTCCCCCCCCTTGGGAAGACGAACGTGGGACCCCCTTCGGCGGGGAGCCGTGTGGGACTGGCTGCTCGCTCTGCAACGGGGTTCTTGTTTTGTGGCCTGAAAGCTTCAGAAAAGTTGCTCTTGCAAGGGGCCCCCACCTCTAGAACAGCAGCAACAGGCTTTGAGGGAGGGGGGGTGGCTGGTGTGATGGGCCCCCTCCACCCTCCCCCTTTTGCTTGGGATTCCCCCCTTCATAGCAGACCGGATGGGAAGGGGCTTCCCGGGGGGGCCCTGAGAAGGCCTGAGCTGCAGCGCCCCAACTGCACCTGTGCACCTGCTGGCCCGAGTAACACAGCCGCCGGCCTCCGCTGCTCTTTTGTGTCCGGGAGGGGCTGCAAAGGAACGGAGGGGGGGGCTTCTGCAGCCCAGAATTTGGCAACATTGCGGGGGGGGCGGCTCTGGGGTCCTTGGCCACCTGCAACTATCCAGGCAGGGGCTCCCTCCCCAGGCTGGCCTCTCCCCCCTCCCCCTCCGGGCTCGGCTTAAGGGAGAATCCCCTCCGCCAGAGAGGAGGCATCAGGTGCTGCTTTTAGGAGGGCCCTGGGCTTCGGAGGCCACATTTCAAGGGTACTTTTTCTCCCTCCAGAGGTGAGCTGGTTGGTTTTAAGGGGCTGGAGAGAATCGGAAAACGTTGCCCAGCTGAGACTGGCCTGGGCTGTGCTGCCGAACGCCCAGATCATCTCAGGGTGGCCCAGATTAAGCTGCTGTTGAGATTAGCCTAGGTATTTTAGGGTGTGTGTGTGTGTGTGTGTGTGTGTGTGTGTGTGTTCATTCCAGAGGCAGCTGAAGGACAACTGAGAGAAATGGGTTAAACCGGTGGGGCTTCAGAGCACTCCAAACTCTCGGAGAAATTTGTGTTTTGTGTGGAAATCCCAGATTGGCTGCTGCCTATTTACTTTTTAAAAGGATAAGCAATTTCACCTCCCCCCCCATGCATTGGTGGGGGGGGGCTGGGGGCTGGCGGTCTGGGTGCATTTAAAAGCCCAGGAGGTTGGTCAAGAATTCCTCAGAGAGGCATATTTGGTAAATTATTATAATAATGCCAGTTGTTATTAACTTACTAATGCTAATTAGTAAAGAAGGCGTTTCGCTGGGGCATTTGATTGGTGGAAGATGGGAAATAAGTTCTGAAAATGAAGGTTTGTAAAGCCCCCTCCCCCCCCTTAAAATTACCTCCCCCTGGTCTACTTGAAAATCCTGCCACCTTCTCTTGTCCGCCTGTAGTCAGTTGCAGCTTGTTTGCGTTCCGGGCAGAGTGAAGTCAGCGTCTTGAGGGACACTCTGCCAACCCGCCCTTGATGGAGATCTGGGCCAGGCTGGCAATGCCACCCAGGCCGGGAGGGCTAAGGGCTCCAGGCATAGCGCACCTGTGCCGCCTCTCTTGAGGGCAAAAGGCAATTTACAGTTTTCCCCCCCTCGGCAACGCACGGCTATGTTAGAGATCTGTTTTGGAGTACCTTAACCACCTTGAATTATGATATATGCATACTCTCCTTGAACTGTGCTGCAGAGAGAGAAGAACTTCTAGTTAAAAACTGGTAAAAATGTTGGGATAATATACGTTTTTAAACATCTTAAGATTATATTGCTTACTTTCAGTATTACAAAAAAATGGGAGAAATATATCTAAAAACCCTGAAAAATGTATGCATATCCAAAGGATCATAGAAAATTTTTTGTGCCTGCTATTGTATTCCATGATGTAAATATTATGTGGTTTTAGCACTACTGAATATTAATGATTTGTTATTTTTTTAAAGCATTAAACTAATAATCAAAGTTTTATTTTGGTACAACGTTAAGTTACGTTTATATTTTAAAAATCTGAGAATTATGTTTTAACAAAGAGGCATTTTTCTGTTATTTATTTTTAAGTCTGGACACCTTGGTTTACTTAATTCCCTGTACAATTTTTCTTCGTCTTCTGTACTTTATTTAAATAACAAGGATCCTTTTCCAGTTGCGTCCTTTAACTTTTTATTATAGTTTTCATAAACTTGCTGTTCAGACCGGATTGACTTTGTCCGACCATTCCCAATAAAACAAGTTTGGAGAAAAAGGATCTCCCTCCTTCGCCTTCGCCTGGCTTCAGGTGTCTTGTGAGCGCCCGGGCCTTGGCCCAGATTTTGGTGTTGGTATTTAGCCTGTCGATCTGCCAGGCTGGGTGGGTTGGTTCTGAAATCTGCAGAACCGAGCCTTGGCCGAAGAAGCCAGAGGAGGCAACTGCCCTCTGCTATGGAGAAAGGCCCCGAGGAGGGCCGCTCCGCTGGTGCCGGGAGAAATTCTACTTCTGCGATTCTTATCAAAGCAAAATTGCCCGAGGACAGAAGAAGAGGAAGGACTTTGCAACTCCAGGCCAACGGATTAGAGAGGAATTCCCACCCCGCCTTTGAACACGTTGCAGTGGCGCATCTTCCCGTCGTGAACCGATGAAAGATGATCCGGTTCGTGTGTTTCTTTTTCAACAATTCTGCCGTGTGCATTTAAGCACGATTGAGCGGTGCTGTTTGAGGCTGCGTCCCTCTCCTCATCCCGGTGGGGACAAGAGGCTTCCACCTTGAGGAGGGCTTCTCTGCAGGCTCCTGGCTTCGGGGGTGGGGGGTGGGGGTGGGGGGGGTGTCGCCTGCTTAAGGTAGACAGGAGCCCTGCAGAGCCCTTTGACGTAAGCTCCTCTTCACCCAAAAGTTCATATCTGCTGCCATCTATCGGATACTTTTTTTTTAAAAAAAATCACATTTTCACATGAAAATGAGCAAGGATGGAAACCTTAGAGGACTGACAGCATAATGACCCCCCCCCCCCCGCAAAGGCCCCTTGTGGAATTTGCCTGCAGGTGTCCTTGATGAGGAGGGTACCTCCCCGGGGTCTTCCGTGGGGCGATTGAAGGTTGTCTCTGTGAGGCTAGGAGACGGTTGCGAGTTTTCTCGTGCTACCCTCCGCTGGGCCATGCTCTTCTGTGCGATCCATTCCATGGGGGACGCCTGGCTGGCCATTCTGGGACACTGGAGACTAGGCCAGGAGGGCCTTTGGCCTGATCCACCAGGGTTGCTCTTGTTCCCGTCAGAGATTCAGACAATTGGCTCAGTTTGGTCTTTTTCGGTAGCCAAGTCAGAGATACTTTGTCCTTTTGAACCAGATCCTGAGGTTGACCAATGTCCCCGTTGTGAGCACGACGCCTTTAATGGAGGCGCAGCAGCTGGTAGCCAGTTGCGCCGTTGAGTCAGCTCCCCAGGCAAATTCTTCAGGCATTCTTCCCCAAAAGCAAGTGACGGCTGGGTTTTTCAGGGTATCCAGTGACCACAGATGTTACCTGAAACATTATCCTCCAGAGCTCTTTCGAGCTTAAAGAAGAGAGGAAATGTTTGTGTAAGTTGGAAGACCGAAGAAGGAGGGAGTTCTTGAGCAGCCACCGTTGGGAGACCTCAGCCCATCATCCTTTCCTTCCGAAAGGAAAGTTGAGCATTTTCAAGACCGTATTTACATTTTTGTGGTACGTGATACTTGCTGGCATTTCTGGCACGGGAGGTGGCCCGGGGGCTTTTGTGCCGGCGGCAAGGCTGTTTCTGAGCTGGGTCATTGGTTTCCCCTAGATGGAGATCTGGAGGTGTGAGTGGCCGTGGTGGGAGAGTTGATGGCAGATGGACGGCTGAAGCGGCACAAAGGCTTCGAGGAACCCTTGGGTCAGCATCTTCGTCTCCCACGTAAGTCATTCTTGTTCCTAAGACTGTTTTTAATAGCAATGACGGCCATCGTCTGGAGGCTCAACAGGATTATTATGGATGGTGAGCTGTGCTACAGGTTAAGACCTTCAAATCAAACAAGGCCGGTCAAAAGTCCGGCAACCACAGCCTGTTTGCTTGGCAGGGCACCCAGCCTCTCTGGCCCAGCACCCATATTACTGAGTCCAGGGTGGGCAGTGCTGCTCAGGGTCAGGATCTCCCTTGGGAAAGTAAGCAGTGTGGGTGTCGATTGGGCTGTACCAGCTGACGGCTAAGGGGGGGTGGGGGTGGCTTGAAAAAGGATCCAGGGATCCTTCTGGCAGTAGAGGGTCTGGAATAGCCCTTGGCCGAAAGGGGTGATTCATTCCGCTCAGTGCTCTGGGCGAGAGTAAGCCACCTCTTGGGAGTGAGGTCTAGGAGTGGCGGTTGTGGTGGGTGATACTATTAATGGTTTGTGGTTAATTGTGTCCCTTGACTTGCTGGCTGGGGAACCCCCTGTTCTTCTGGGTGGGTGGGTGGGTGGGTGCCCCAGGCCATACGTGCAGGGGCTGACCCCCAGAGTGTGCCCCAGGGAGAGGGCACCAGTCCTCCCTTCCCGGTCCAGCTGGTTGGCGGGGTGCCTCTGTCGCCAGCAGGCAGGCAGGCAGGCAGGCAGCCTGACACCCGGGGGGTATTTTTAGCCATGACATGTCCTCCTGTTCAGCTGCTGGCTCTCATCTGGGGTGGGTGGGAGGGGAGGGGTCCTCTTAGCCACTTCCCCCCTCCTCCTCCTCCTCCTGTTTCTCCCTGCCTGGTGGGAACCTGTAGCTGCTGCTGGGTCCAGGGCCCTTTGTGTAGGAAGCCCCTCGTCCGTGGTCAGCCAGGCGGCTGAAAGAGAAGGTAATTGACCTCTGTGGCTGCATGGAGGGTGTGTGTGGGGGGGAATCTGGGGAGAAGGTCTGGGTGGACCCTGCCTTGGCCCCCCAAGTGCCAGCCTGAGGGTCAGCAGGTGGCTATTTTTAGCAAGGCTCAAAGAACAGCCTGCGGGAATGTTGGAGAGCAATGGCTGAGCAGGGCCTTCCTTCAGCCTGGGCTCCGGGGCAGCCCAGCTGGGGAGAAGGTCCCCTCCTGGCCTCCTTTCTCCCCGGAAGAGTGTCCACCAGGCGTGGACAGGGCTTCTCTTTGCTCTCGGTGCCCCCCCCCCGAGGAAAACAGGGGCACCCAGCCAGGAGCGGGAAGGCTCTCATTTCCCAGACCCAGAAACATTCCTGGGATAGCCGTCCCAAGAGACACCCCCACCCCCCAGCCCCCGTGCGAAGAACGAACCAGCTCAGACCCTGGGAGACGCCGGGGGGACTTTCCTCGATAACCTGGGAGCTGGGGGTGGGGCGGGACTGTGTGTCCCTGTAAATCAGGAAAGGCCCCTGGATCCTGGAAGGCCTTGAGCAGCCGACCCCAGTTGGGCCTTGGGAGACGACGGGCCTGGCTGGCTTGGGAATCAGCCCCATGGGCTCTTAGGCGCCCCAAGGCTTTTCCTTCGAAAGGGGACCCCAGCATGGTTTACGTGGGCCTGTGGGCGCTCCTCTGTTCTGGGAAGGAGACTTTCTGTACCCCACATCTGGAGACCTCAGAATGCAAAAGGGGACAGGTGCAGTGATTGTGACTTGGGGGGGGCGGGGGGCTCATGGACCGAGGAATCCTGGGTCTTGTAGGGGCACGGATGGTGGCACAGCGAGGCTTCCTTGGGGGCTTCGGGGGCTTCGAGCAATGGCGTTTGAGCCGTTTGTTTGTTTCTGCTGGGTAAGGGTTTCCTTTGCTGCTCCCGTGTGGCAGGAACCCGCAATCAGTCCCTGTGTCTTGTAGCCCTCTGGGGTGGGGGCTGACCTTCAGTGCCAGGGAGCTGGGAATCGGGGGTGGGGTCTTCTTCGCCCACCCAAGGCCCAGAGTCAGGAACTGAGCGGCCAAGCTGGGAAAAGGCCGTCCACGTGAAGGGCGGAAGTGCGTGCCTGAAAACATTTCTCCCTTTTAAGTCAGTGGCTGTCCCTGGACTGTCAAATACGTATGTGTGCGTGTGTGTGTGTGTAATAAGAACAAGAAGCATGCCCCTGATTCAGAGGTTCTGGGGGCCCGGAACGGAGCAGGGCCTTCAACTCTGGCCCACAGCCCCCTTTCCACCTCTGTCCGGCCAGCAGGAGCCCCTCTCCTCTCCTCTGAGCCGAGCAAAAGGCAGCTCCTTCCGAGGCCCCCCTGGGGCCTTTCAATAAAGCTCAGAGCAGTTTCAAAGCGGGGTGTGTGTGTGTGTGTGTGTGTGTGTGTGTGTGTGTTGAAGGAGAAGGCCTGGTCCGGTCAGGCCCTTTGGAGGCTGCTGGTGGGCTTAGGAAGAGGGCCGTGGTGTGAGCAGAGAGGACAGGTGGCGGCTGCTCCAAGGGCTCTGGATGAAGTCCGGCTTCTTTGGGAGAAGCGCTGGGTCCGGAGCTCCGCTTGAGGCCGCTGGGAAGCCCTTGAGGCCTTCCTCCCTTGGGTGCCCCCACCTCTCAGGGGAAGGCTCAGGCCAGGCCGGCCCTGCAGGGCCCTGCAGGGGCTTCTCTCTGTAGGGGGGACTGGGGAGCTTGTATGGCCCAAGAAGTCAGCTGGGCTCCTCCTCCTCCTCCCCCTCCTCTGGGGTCCAGGCACAGCAGGGTGACTTAGATGCTGGCTGGGGCGTTTGAGGGGCACGGAGGTGCGGGGTGGGTGGGTGGGGAGGGGCTGCTAGAATCTGCGAAGGCGACATTTCCAAGAGGTCCGCAGGAAAAGCCGGCTGTTGTCCAGGGAAGCCTGTCCAGAGGCTTGGGGGGGGGGGGGGGGGGGCGGGGGGGGGCCGGGGGGGAGGGGGGGCCGGCCCCCGGGGGCGGGGGGGCCCCCCCCCCCCCCGTCTTGGAGTGGGAGGGGTTGCGGGAGGCTGTGCCTGTGAGAAGGAGACCACCAGGGTGAGAAGGGGGGGTGGCCACCTCTCCTTCAGGGCCCTGGGAAAACAGAGGCACAATCTGGGGCGCCCACCCTGCCTGGGTCTCCGCGGGGGCCGACTGAGCCTGACCGCCTCTCCTCTTCTTCCGGCCCCCGCCTGGGTGTGCGCCCCCTCCAGAGGGACGCAGGCTGCTGCTGCTCCCGCCGCGTGTCTCCACCCGTGAAGCTCGCGCCCCCTCTGGGCTGCCCGTCCCCTCGTCAACATGGCCATCTCGTCACGACTCGCCCTGTGGGAGCAGAAGGGAAGTGGATCTCGGCTGCATGAGGCAACGCGGAGAGCCGCATGAGCTTTGGGGCGCTCAAGGCAAAGCCCCGCTGGCCGCTAACGCTTGATTCCTCCTCTGCCTGGCTGGCTTCCTTTCGTGAACTTCTCGGCTTTGGACTGGCAACTAATTCCCGCCCCAGAGCTTGAAGGCCACGGAAGCATCGCATCTGTCCAAAGAAACGGGCAGCTGCCTCTCTCTTTCAGCTTGCCGGGGGGTGGGGTGGGGGGGTGTTTAGTTCCATGAGGACCTCCGGAGCATGTGCAGAGCCCCCTCCCCTTGCAGCGCACCTGGGGCTTCGGCTTGGTCTCCGAAGCGCCTTCTTGGCAAGGGGGGCAGCTTCCATGGGTTGGGGAGGGGTCTTCTGTTCCCAGAGGCGGGGTGGTTGGTGGGGGTCTGCTCAAAGGGGCACCTTCCCTTTTCCCCGATTGACCGAATGACTTGGTGTGAACAGATCAGGGAAGAGGACCGAAGCCCCCCGCTGACCTCCCCGCCTTTGCCTTTCTCCATCATTCCTGGGGGCTTCATCAAGCAGCTCGTGCGGCAGAACGAGAAGGAGTCCAAGGCCCTGAGGCTGAGGGGGGACGTCGCCCCAAATCCCCAGGAAGAGGTGAGAGGAGGCTGGCGTCCTGGCTGGGCGCAGGAGCAGAGCCGGCCTGGATGGGAGCCTGCCGTGTGGCCCTGGAGGCCCCTCCCCCATTCGCAGAATCCTCGCGGGGGGGGACGCCGTCTTTGCCCCCAGGGAGAGATCTCTGCCCCCCTTGTGCCCTTCGGTCCCCTGGCAAAAGTTCCAACCGGCTTTTCTTTGCTTCCAGCCCCTCAGCCAGCCGGTTGCGGTCAAGGAGGCCGACCCCTTGGAAGTGGGGGGTAGCATGGCCAGCAGCAAGGGGCAGCTGAACGGGGAGAAGCCGGCCGGGGCCGGGAGGGTGGCGCTCCCGGAGAAGAAGACCCTGCCCTTCAGGATAGGCCCCCCAAGAAGGAACGCCAAGCTCTTTGGGCCCGATCCGGGCCCGGCTCCTCCGCCCAAGGCCGAAGAGAAGGTGCCCCTGGCCGGAGGCTCCAGAGCGTCCACCGCAGAGGCGAGACAGGGCCCGCAGGACAGGGCAGCCGCGCAGGGCGAGCGCAGTGAGAGCCCCAGGAAGGAGGCAGCGGCGGCGGCCCAAGGAAGGGCCCAAGCAGGCGGGGGGGCCAAAGGGACGGGGAAGAGGAAAGAGGCGGACGGAGAGGAGCTGGGAGGGGAGGGGGAGCGGAAGCGGGAAGAAAGTGCAGGGAGAGCAGGAGACGAGGCCTTGGCAGCTGTCCGGAGGGGGCCCGGAGGGGCCCAGGAGCAGGGAGCCTCTGGAGCAGCGGCCGAGATAAAGGGGAAATGCCCGGAAGGAGCGGCGAAAGAAGAAGGACGAGGGGCTCCGGAGGAGAGTCCGGACTCCTGCGAGGTGAGCGGGGAGCTGCCCGGCCTCCAGGGCCTGCGCTTGAATGCTCGGGGGCCTTTGGGGGCCTTCTCCCCACCTCTGGCCCCCCCAAACGGGGAAGGGTGCTTAGAATTCACCCTTTTCTCTTGCCTTGGACTTCCTCCGGCCCTCCCCACCCGCCTTTCCATGACGGAGGCCCTTTGCCTGCCTCTCCCCCCTGAAGGCTGCTCTGAGCGTCGGTTTGGCCCTTTTGTGCAAGAGCTGCTGGGGGGGGGGGGAACGGAGCCACTGCAGCTCAGAGCCCTCCAGGGAACTGCCCCACTGCACCCACCTCGGGGGCCTTGGGGAGACCCCCGGCAGGGGCCTCTTCCAGGGGTCTTGAAGTGGGGCAGGGCCTTCAGGGGCGAAGGCACCGAGACTCCTGGGATCTCAAAGGGTCCCTGGGGAGCTCCCACCCCACTTTTGCAAGGAAACCAGTGACACTGTCCACTGCCCATTTCAAACTGGGAGCACTCCGCCTTCTTCCCCCTTCAGCAGGTCCCTGAGGACGCCTGGTTTGAAACGGAGAAGATCTGGCTGGTTCAGAAGGATCAATTCGCTCTTGGTGGGTTTGGCTTGTGCAGTGGAGGGGCGGTGGGGGGGAGAGCAGCCCCCTCCCCAGGGACTTTGGGAGCGGGGGAGGAATGAATGAGTTCAGGTCTTATGCCGGGTTTTATGCTTTGCCTTGTTTTATTGCTATGTTTGTCGCTGAGACGGTTTATTATTTCAGGATTTGATGATTTAGGGGGTTTTTTATGTTTCATCTACCGTGGATGTTTTAATTAATTTTTCATATCGAGAAAGCTGCTGAGAGTCCTTGAACTCTTGTGGAATATCAATGCGATAAATAAGGCAAAGGCAAAAATTACTCTCCCCTTGCCGTTTGCTTTCGGGACTGGGGTGTGTGAGGGGGGGCACAGGCGATCCCCGTGAAGACTGGAGCAGCGGAGGCAGGCGGAGAGAGGAAGGTGCGCAGTGCGCAGGGTCACGGAAGAAGAGAGCCGCCTTGCGTGTGGCCTCTCCTGACCCAGAGCCCAGCCAAGGAGCCCCTCCTGGCCTGGGGCTGGGGCTCCTGCTGGGGTGGGGGAGGCCCGCTGCCTTTGGGGAAGGGCTGCTCAGGGACTGGATCGGAGCTCGTCTTCGTTTTGCAGCCACCGAATTGAAGCCTGACATGGGCACGCCGGGGCTGCCTCCAGGAATCGTGCGCGCTCGCCTGGACGCCGATGGCTCCATCGTGGAGGTGGCCGAAGGAGAGGTGCAGAAGGTGAGCGCTCCTGCCCCCCCGCCTGAAGGCCACTCTATCTACGGGGGTCGCCTTGGCGCAATCCTCTGCCCGTCCCAAGAGCATCCCGTCGGGGTCCCTTCCAATCCTTTGGCCGGGGGGAAAAAGAAGGGAGCCAGGCAGCGAAGGTGGCTTCCTTCCTCCTCCTCCCTCCACAGGCCAATCCACCCAGCCTGGACTACACTGAGGACCTGGCCGCCCTGGTCAGCCTGAACGAGGCGAGCGTCCTCCACGTTCTTCGCCAGAGGTACCAGTCGCAGCTGCCCTACACCTTCTCTGGCCCTCACTTGGTGGCCCTCAGGCCGGTCCCTTCCACGGCCAGCAGCTCCAGAAAGGTACAGTAACCTGACGAAGGGGGCGAAGGGGGGGGCAGGCATTGCCCTGGGGCACCTCAGGCGGGGCCCACCGTGGTTGTGCCCAGAACGCACCAGCCCACGTCTTCCCAGGCCTTCCAAGGCAGGAGGCACAGGATGTCTCCACACGTCTTTGCGGTGGCGCAGAGGGCCTACTGGGGCATGCTGGCGCAGCGGCAGGACCAGGCCATCGTGGCCCTGGGCAGAAGCAACACGGGGAAGACCACCGCTTGCCAGGACATCCTGGAGCACCTTGTGGCCACCGCGGGCAGCGTGGACAACCGGGTCACAGGTAGGCCACGCTCCGGGCAGCCCCCCCTCACCTCCACCCCCCCACCCAGCAGCCTTCGCGTCCCAGAGGGCGGGTGGCCGTGAGGGGCCCGCTTGCATTCTGTTTTGGGTTTGCAGTGGAGAAGATCCAGGCCGTGTTCACCGTGCTCAGAGCCTTTGGCACTGTGTCCGCTGGGCCCAACAGAACCGCCACCCGCTTCTCCATGGTCCTGGCGCTGGATTTCAGCGCCTCTGGGCACGTAACTGCTGCTCACCTCCAGGTAAGAGGGTTGACTGGCATCGGGTGCGGGGGGGGGGTGTTTCTGGGACACAGCAGCCCCAAGCTCAAGGGGGCACCCCTCGCTGTGCCCAAGTGAGGTGCCACCTTCAGCTGACCTGGAGTCCGCTTCCTCTCTGCTGCCCAGACGATGCTGCTAGAAAGAGCCCGGGTGGCACAGCAGCCCGAGGGAGAGGGCACCTTCAACGTCTTCTCACAGATGCTGGCAGGGCTGGGCATGGAGCAGAGGTAGGCTGCCGGGCAGGAAGCAGCTCCCTCTCTGGACCTGGGCATGGCGTGGGAGGGGCACGTCGGCCTCCTGTGGGAACTGGGCCAGGGCCCCCCCCCCCCCCCCCGGAAGGAGAGGCTGCTGCTCGGCCGTGGTGGCAGAGGTGGTGCTCCTCTCCCCAGCAGAGGGGGCCAGAGGGCCAGGAAAGGCTGCCCTGCCTTGGCACCAGGCCTGGTGGTGGTGAGCAGCTCTTGGTTGCTCTGACTGGCACCCAGGATGCTGAGCAAGCCCACGGGGCACCAGGGCTTTCTGCCAGGGCTTCACTCTGTCCCCAACTTCTGCCCATAGGTCCACTCTGCACCTGCACCAGGTGGCAGAGAGCAGCTGCTTTGGCATCAGAGCCAGCCTGAAGGTGAGGACCCCCTGCCCTGGCCTGCCCCACCGTTCCCCTGGCTGGGTGTCCCCCAAGGAAGTCTGAGGGCAGCCCGGGGAGGGGGCAGGGCTGGTCTCTGCCCCTTTCCAGTTGGCTCCGCTTGGCCTCCTGACAGGTGGGAGGGGGAGGGGGTTGGGGAGGCCCCTCCCCCGAGGGGAGTTGCTTCAGCGTTTAGCCATGTCCTTGGCAGCATTAGCCTGCAAGTGACCGCTGCCGGCCAGGTGAGATTCTGAAAAGAGGACCCCACGCTGGGGAAAGGAGCAGCCCCCCCCCCCCAAGTGGCCCGGGGGAGCCCTGGCGTGGGCCCTGGGGCAGGTCCCGGGCAGGAAAGGAGGGAGCAGAAAAGGGCCCCTGGCAGGGCCCCTTCCCAGCACCGGGGCCTCTCTGTGAAGGCTGCTGCGGCTGCTGCTGAGGCTGGGCCCGGGGGGGTCAGGCAAGTCGTCCCCCCACTCCCCCCCCCCCGCTGAGACCGTGTTCCATTAGCAGCCTCCCTCCCAGTCCAGTTCTTGCAGAGGAGAGCAGGAAGGCCAGGAAAGGCCTCTCCGGGGGGGGGGGGGAAAGCAGGGGGGGCAGCCCCCCCACAGGGATTCTAGGCAAAGTCTCCCCCCCGCCCAGCCGGTTCCGTCTTTGCCTGGGCAGAAAGGGGCGCCATGGCCCCTGGACCCGCCCCGAGGCTGGACTCTCTTCCTTCTTGCAGGGGGAAGAGAAGCGGGAGGCTTCGGCTGCCTTTGCACAGCTCCAAGCTGCCCTGGGCACCCTGGGAGTCGAGGCGGCTGAGCAGGAAGCGCTGTGGCGAGTCTTGGCTGGCATTTATCACCTGGGGGCTGCTGGTGTCTGCAAAGGTACAGCCAGGAAGGGGGGGGGGCAGCCCCTGCCCTGTCCCTGCCCTCAAAGGCGAGGAGATGCGAGTCAGCCCGGCGAGGGGCCCCGACTTACTGGGCGAGGCTGGTGAAGGCCCTCCTGGCCGGAAGAGGCACCGTTGCTGAGGCAGAGGGCCGTAGCGCCCTGGGTCTCCCTGGCCTTAGTCGAAAGGCCGCCTGGCTTCTGGGTCTGCAGCTGACCAGCGAGATCCAATCCCTCCGGTCTCCACGGGCCCGTTCCAGGTGCCCAGGGGATTATAGACGGGCTCAGGGGCCCTCTTGGATTCCTTAGGCCGGCTGTGAGGCCCCCCACCCAGGTCTCCTGTGCTGGCCTGGCCAGCCGTCTTCCGGCTTCCTCCCTGCTCGTCCCTTGTCTCTCTGACGGAAAGAGACTCCTCCTGTTTGCGAGAGAGAGAGAGAGAGAGAGAGAGAGAGAGAGAAGTTGTGGAGTTGCCCCTTACTTCTTGGGGGGGGGGGGGGGGGGGGGGGGCTGCAGTCTCTCCTGGTGATGGATGCCCTTCCCTTTCCAAGAGACAGGCACGCAGGGCGGGGAACCTGCTGGGGCTCCATTCACCGACGTCTCCCTGGCATTGTGGCAGTTTCACCCACGGATCCCTGGTTCCTCCTAAAGAGGCTGGGAAGTCCGCTTCCTGCCCCTGCCAGCTTCTCCCTCGAGGCAGAGAAAGTTCCGGAAGAGGCACAGCATTATTGGCACATTTTGGGGACCCCTCGGGGTCTCTCACTTCGGCCTGGATGGCTGGGAGTTGGGGACCCTGAAATGGGGGGCGGGGGCGGCGATGGGACGCCAGCCGCCCCAGTTCAGGCCCACTTCAGCAGAAGAGCCTTCCCTGTGGACTTGGCACGTCCGGCACTCACAGGGCCTTTGCACCTGATCCGGGACCGGCAGGAAGGCAGCTGGATGTGGTGCATCCCCACCTTTGCTTGGCCTGGGGGAGGTGTGGGGGCCGCCCAGCCGTGGCTCAGCCACCCTCTGCCCCCGCCCTGCCTGCCTCTGCCGGCCTCCCCTGGCCATTCCAGGAGTCCCGGGGTAGCGGGCAGCGGTTCCGCCTGGCCAGGCTCTCCTCCTCTTCCTCCAGTGGGCCGGAAACAGTTCCTGAAGTTCGAGTGGGCCAACCGGGCGGCGGACGTCCTGGGCTGCGAGGCGGAGGAGCTTTCCACGGCCGTCTTCAAGCACCACCTGCAGCGCATCCTGGAGCAGGTCACCGCGGGAGCCCACTTGGAGGAGCCCCCCGACGGTATGGCTGCCCCCCCGCCCCCCCTCCGTCCCCCCGCCTGCTTTCTCCTTGGTCTTCTCCCAGGCCCCTTGACCCCCGGTGGGGCTCCAAGCTCTGCGCCTGGACCCTTTGCAACACGGGGGGGGGGGGGGCGTTTTTTCTTCCCCCGGGGGGCCCCCGCCCCCTTTCCCCTGCCCCCCCCCCCCCCCCCCCCCCCCCCGCCTGTGAGGCCTGCCTCCACACAGGGAGACACCTGGGAGGTGTGAACAGGAAGGAAGGAGGCAGCCTCGGAGGCCCGGACGCTCCTCCCAGATCAGTGGCGCTCCCTCCCTGGGCCAATTCCCCTTCCCCTTTTCCAGCTGCCTTTCCAGCCCCCTCCCTCCCCTAAGCTGGCTATGGTGCACTGTGTCGCAACCAGCTCTTGGTTGAGACTGGACCAAGCCGTGGTGCTGCTGCTGCCAATTGGGAGGCAGCCAGTAAGCCTCAGATGGTCTCCTAGCAACCGGACCAGGTGCCAGGTGAGACACCTGCTTGGCTGGTTTGTTGCTGGGCCCTGCTGAGGATTGGCAGGGGTCTTCTGCCCCTCCCCGTTGGAGGAGAAGGCCGGGACGTTTCTGCCGTAGGGGGGCAAAGCCAACATCCACGAAGGGACAATTCGGAAGGTCTTGAATTCTTAGTTCTTCTTGTGTTATTTGCTTTGCAATAAAAATGGCGTCGTTCCCCCCTTCCCATTGTCCAAGGAAATTGGACACCTCAGCTGGTACTTCAGTGGGGGGGGAGCAGTTTCGTGACTGGACTCAGAGCCACGTGGTCCCTCCAAAGCCAAGGACCCCCCCCCCAGCTCCTTTCCTTGGGAGGGGGAGGCGTTTGCTGCAGTCCCAGGCCAGGTGGCCATTGACACAGTGACGGGGGATATCAGAACTGCAGCTGCCCCTGATAACAACCACGATCCCTCTGGCCCTCCAGGTTCCTTTTGGGGGGGGGGGGGATCCCTTTGTGGATCCTTAAGGTCTTCTGTTCTGCTGGTGGGCAGCTTGACTGGGGGTCCCGCTGGAGGGGATCCCCACCCACTGGTCCTTCCCTTCCCAGGCCCCAAGCTGAGCGGGGTGGAGTGCCTGGAGGGCGTGGCGGCCGGCCTCTACGAGGAGCTTTTTGCGGCCGTGGTGATGCTGGTCAACAGGTGGGCAGCCCTTCGGCACCCGAGGCGGTGGGGGGGTCGTAATAACAACCCATTCAACGGGTAGGATGCCCCAGGAGACCAAGGCCAGTCAGGAGAGGAACACCCCCCCTCTTGGTCTGTGGCCCCTCCCCAGACGCAGGGGGGCTTCCAGGTGGAGGGGGCTCTGCCGCAGCAGGCAGGTGTGGGAAAGGGAAGCTGCGGGGGGGGGGGGGGGGGGCTGCGATTGATTAATAATGGGTGTGACTTTGCGGGATTCAGGCGAAGGCCGGTCTGGCTGGGAAAAGCAAGCAGCCCCCACCCCACCTTGCAGCCCCCAGAAACGGGGGTGTAACGGGGGAGCCCTCCCCGTCCCTTGCAGGTCCTTCTCCTCCAGCCAGCTCTCCATGGCCTCCGTGATGGTGGTGGACACCCCGGGCTTCCTCAGCCCCCGGCATCAGAAGAGAAACCGGGCGGCCACCTTTGAGGAGTTCTGCCACAACTACGGGCAGGAGCGGTTGCAGGGGCTCTTCTACAGGGCCAGCCTGGAGTCCGAAGTGGGCAGGTACCAGGAGGTGAGGCGCCCACCCTGCAGCTTTGCTCCCGGGAGGGGCATCTCCCGCAGTGTCCCAGTCCCCCCTCCCCCCCCCTCGGGGGCTTGCTGGACCTTGGCCTCCCTGCTGTCCCCTCTCGGGCCAAGAACGGCTTTGGGGAAAGGCCAAAGGCCAAGCGGAGCCTTAGAGGAGGAAAAGATGGGGGGCAGTGGGGAAGAAGAGAAAAGGGGGGACCTTTTTCCGTCCACTCACTTCCGAGCCTCCCCCCTCCCCTCCCCCCCCCCCCCCCCCCCCCCCCCCCCCCGGTCACTGTTTCCTAGGAAAACGTGGAGGTGCCGTTTGACCTGCCTGAGCTCTTGCCAGCCTCCACAGTGGCCCTCGTGGATCAGAACCCGTCCCAGGTAATTGGGAGGCTGGGGGGGGGGGGCTGCTTGCCGAGGGTTTGTTGGCAGGGCAAAGCCTTCCTGGTGCCAGGAGCAGCGCTGGAGGCTTCGGGTGCAGGGCTGGCACGAAGCGAGAGAGGTGGGAGGGTCGATAAAAGCCACCCAGGGCAGCACATCTGCGGGGAAGCCCTGGGCCTTTGCCCCCAAGGATGCCAGTCCGGCCAGGGAGGAGCCCCCAACTCCAGGAGGTTGGGGCTCTGAGTGCCCCTCCCTGCCTGACCATCAGAAATCGCCCAGGTGCTCTGTGCCCGTGCTGTGAGAGGCCCAGGGGACAGGGGGCCCCAAGGGATTCCGGGGCCACCCACTCGGATTCAAACCGTAGAAGGACGGCATTAACTGGCACGCTGCTGCCCATGGTCGGCATGGCTGTGCTTGACCTGGAGGAACGGATCCTGGTTAGAGGCGGCAGCACCACCGTGGCCACAATGGAGGCAGGGAGGGAGCAGCAGGCCTTTCCCCCTCCCCCAACAAAATTATGAGGAGCTGACAAATCTGCTTCCCCCTGGCCAACCTGGGGCTGTAAAACTGCAGATTGCCAGGAGGAAAACGTAACATTTCCTGTACAGATGGAATGGAATAATAATACATATGTAGCCCCCAATAAATAAAGGATAATTAAAATGAGTAATCATTAGTGATTAACAAACCACAGCAAATTTGTTCCAAACCTCCGTGGGACAGGAGGGTCGGGGGAAGGGGGGATGTGGGGGGGTGGGGGGGGCTGATGCCACTTAGCTCAGCCGGTCTGTCCCCCTTTAGATGCCTCCCTCTTCCGGGGGGCCCTCGGAGGACCCCCAGGGCCTGCTCTGGATCCTGGACGAGGAGGCCCTGATGCAGGGCTCCAGCGACAGCAGAGCCCTCGACCGCCTGTGCTCAGCCTTCGGGAAGGAAGGTAAGGCCGGAGGGGGAAGCTTGGGCAATGCCAGCTGCATCGGGGAGGGCAAAGGCGGGTGCTTCCCCTCCTCAAAGGCAGCCGGCCTTTCGCTCTGCCCCACCAAAGGAAGAGGATGCTTCAGAGGGGGCAGACTTGGGGCCTCCCGGGGCCTCTCCTTCCATGCCATCCCAGGGGAGGGCTGCTCACTTCGTGCCCAGCAAGGCCGTGGCACAGAGACTACCTGGCCCTCTGAGCCCTCCATCCTCCCGTACCCCCAGCCGAGCAGCTAAGCCTTACTCCGCCTCTTCGCTGCAGAGCAGGGGGTCCTGCACAGGTGTGAGCAGCCCCTGCAGTTTGAGGTTGCCCACCGGCTGGGCAAGGACCCCGTCCGCTACGATGCCACCGGCTGGGTGAGCAAGGCCAAGTGGAACCTCTCTGTGCAAAACGCCATCCAGCTCCTGCAGCAGTCCAAGATGTGAGTGAGGGGGGGGCTCTGTGGGGAGGGAGGGAGGGAGGGGGCCCGTGGTCTGAGGCGGCCTCAGGGGTTGCCTGCCTGCCTGCCCGCCTGCCTGCCGGTGAAGGGGGGGGAGGTTGACCTTCCCAGGGCGGCCAGGAAGCTGGGTCAATGCCCGTTGAGCATTGGTGCTCACCATCTTTGTGCCAAACTGTGCAAGCAAGGAAGGCACAGGTGCCAACTGAAGGGGGCCAGGAGGGGTTTGGAGCCGGGCCCGGCTGTCTTGCCCTCTCCTGCCTCGCGGGACTTGCCAAAACAGCTTGATTTGAACTGGGACAGGCGGTAGACGTTCATTCGGGGGGGGGAGCATGAAAGGCCAGGGGCAAACCAGCCCCTCGGCTCCCCTGCCCTTCGGCCTATGGGAAAAGGCCGCCAATGTGGGTCAGCTTCTGGCTCACCCTGGAGGAGGTTTGGATCTCAGGGGAGTTTCAGGCTCCAGGGAAAAAGGACCCGCTCTGACCCCTGGAACCGCCGGAGGGCGAGGAGGAAGCGGTGGGTGGGTCTCCGTTCCCAGAAGCCCCAGGCGGCCCACGGGCTCCCCTCCCACGGCAGCCAGGCCGAGAGAGAGTCGGGCCCGCCACCCAATGGCTGGGCCAAACTAGCTGCCAGAGGCCCCACTTGGGAGGGTTTGGGGAGGCCGAGAGGGAGGGCCTTCCTGCTGACCAGCCCCGCTTCCTTCCCACAGAGGGGCCCTGAGGAAGGTCTTCCTGCCACGCGCCCAGGTGCCTCTGCTTTGCCGCTCTGTGGCGGGCTGGGAGGGCCACTCCCAGCAGGCCCTGAAGCGCAGCGGCTGCCTCCGGAAGACCTTCAGCGGCAGCTTCGCCACCTTGAGGAGGAGGTCGGTGTGCGCCCAGATCAAGCTGCAGCTGGTGAGCGAAGCGCCTGGGCTGGGCGGGGCTGGGCGGGGGGGCGGCCTGGGGTCCCCTTCCGGTTTCGCTGGATTTCTCCCTGTGGATCCATTTCATCCCAGTTGGTCGGTTTGCACAGGGCAGCTCCTGAAATTCCGACCAGGAGAACCGAGTCGAGGCGGGGAGATCCTCCTTCGCTTCCAACAGACCTTTGTGCAGAGAAATCACTTGGTGAATGTGCCCGAGAAGGGAGGGAGCAGATTTGGGAGATGCAGGCGCCTCGTGTCCCAGGACAGCCTGAGAGGGTTGCGGGGGGGGGTGTGTTCCGTGTGGATCCCCCTGGAAACGAAGCTTCTGCGGAGCCTGGCTGCCCCTGCCGCCTCCTCCGATGAGGCAAGGAAGATCCCTGCTGAGGGATCCCTCCTCTCCCCGCAGGACGCTCTCAGCAATCTGGTCAAGCGCTCTCAGATCCACTTCCTCCATTGCCTTGACCCGGGGACCCCAGAAGTGCCTTGGCCGCCCACGGAGGCCTCAGAAGCCACCCCAGGACCGGCGTGGGACGTTCCCGCCCTGCGTGCCCAGCTCTCCGGCAGCCTGATCCTGGAGGCCTTGCGGCTCCACAGAATTGGTGCGGAAGTGAGGTTTTGGGGTCTCCCTGCCGAGTGCAAGGAAGGGTGGTGCTGGTGGGGGGATGTCAGCCCCCTTCCTGGCTGGTGCAGTTGTGGTGCAGGTTACACAAAAGGCGACTGACGGAGACAGGAAGTGGGGAAGTTTGGCCTGACGGTGGAAGGAAGCCTAGAAGCAGCCAAGACCAACTTCTAGCTGGGCATTTTGGGCATTGTAGTCACCAGAGAACTGGGCAGGGGCCACTAGGGTGTCCCGTCCCCCCCCCCCACTCTACATGGCTGGCTGGTTTGTGCTGCGCCAAATCTCTCTTCCCTTTCTGAGCAGCTGCTTAGTGTTTGCAATGACAAAATGCCACTTCTCTTTGCTTGTTTGTTTTGGGGGGATTTATAAAGTGTGTTTCTGCACATGGTTCCCAGGACAGCGCACTCTTTAAAATAATAAGTGCAAACACCATGAAATTCAATAAAAGAGCCCCGTAAATCTCAAAAACGGCTGTAATGTCAATAAAATCCAGCAGAAGCCGTGGAAGTGACAGCCTCCCGGAGCAGAGCACGTAGAGGCCGCAGGGCAAGTTCCAGGGGATGCCGCCCTAGGAGCTCTTCCCCTGCTGGATCTCTGGGCCTGGGGTGCCGCAAAGCCCCCTATCAATCTTACACCCCCCCCCACATGCCCCCTGTTTAATTTCCATCTGGGGGTGCAGGGGGATTTCTGGGGTCTGGCCAGGACTCGGCGCTTTGGGTTGGGAGACACGCGTTACACTGAGTGTGCAGGATGGGACGTGCTCCTCCGGGCTCTTTGGGTGGGTGTGGGGGGCCTGGGGGGGGCCAAGCTCCTCACCTCCGTTTCTGCTCGGGCAGGCTATGCGGATCGCATGGAGCTGACCCAGTTCCGGCGGCGCTTCCAGGGCTTGGCTCAGCCGGAGATGAAGAAGTTCACCTCGGCCTACGAGCTGCCGGACGAGAAGAAGGTCAGAAGCCCCGGAGAAGGGACGGGGGGAGGGGGGAGCCCAGGTGGCCACGGCAGCTTCAGCCACCCAACAGGAGAGCCGACCGCCAGCCCCGTCCGCCTGCTGGCCATGAAGCGGGCGCCCCGGGAAGGAAGCGTGCGCGGGCCTTGTGCCAGGAAAGCAGCCACCCCGGGGATCCTCTCAGCGGGTGGGGTTCAGGCGGAGGACTGAGCAAGGGGCACTTGGCAGGTGGCGCTGCAGGGAGACTCATTCGACAAGCGCTCCAGCTCCCTCACCTGCCCGGGGGGTGTGTGTCCGAGTCCCCCCACAAAGGAGCCCCAAAGGGAGGCCCAGCAGCTGAAGACGTGGGGGGCGCAGGGGCCGGGCGACTTTCCCCCCTGTGACATCCGAAATGACCCCGGCTCTCCTGAGCCATGAGAGAGAGAGAGAGAGAGAGAGAGAGAGAGAGAGAGAATGTCCCGATCTCTAGTTGGGCGATGGCAGCTGAGATGCTGACTGAATGTCGGGACTGTGTGCTCTTCCCCTCTGCAGGCTCTGGAGGAGCTCTTCCGGGCCCTCGATTTGGAGAAGAAGAGCGTTGCGCTGGGCCGCACTCAGGTACTGGAGGCAGCCTGCCTGGGGCTTCTCGCCTGCCTGCTGAGAGACGGCTGCTTCACCCTCCGTCCCTCTCGGCAGGTCTTCCTGAAGGCTGGCGTCCTTCCGCGGCTGGAGAAGCAGCGAGAGAAACTGGTCTCCCAGGGCCTGGTCCCGCTCCAGGCGGCCTGCAGGGGCTTCCTCTCCCGCCAGAGGTTCAGGAAGTTGAAGGTAGCCCTGCTCTGCAGTGGGGGAGGGCGGCCCCGGGGGGCTCCTGGGTGGCTCCCGTCCCGTCTCTCTCGGGCCTAGCTGGATCCCAGCCCTCCAGCTGCCACTGGGGGTGGCCTTAATCCTTGGCCCTGAGGCGTGTTCCCCCCGCCCCCCCCGCTTCAGATCCAGAGCCTGGCTGCCCGATGCATCCAGAAGAACCTGGCCGTCTACCGAGCCGTGAAGAGCTGGCCGTGGTGGCAGCTGATGTGTGGCATCCGACCACTCCTGACCATCAGCCTGGCAGAAAGCCAGCTCCAAGTCAAGGAGGTACCTGAGTTCCCGGGAGAACGAGCGGGTCAAGGCTCCAATCCCGCTTGTCCTTGGATTCAGCTGAGCTTAGCGGATTCTCTCAAAGGGAGGTTCTGCCCCCCCCCACCGGGCCCCCCCAGCTGCCTTGGCTGCCATCCCCGGCCCAAGGCAGACACAGCAGTCGATGGGCCGTTGACCCCCTTTGGGGAGGCGCTCCTGCAGCCCCTGCAGGCAGACTGGTCCTGCGCGCAAGGCTGCAGGTGGTGAATAAACCCTGAAGAACCCCCTTCCCCTCCCCTCCCCTCCCCCTCCCTCTCAGGAGGAACTTGCAAGGCTCCAAAAGAAGTTGGAAAATTCAGAAATTTCCCGCCAGGAGTTCCGGCAGAGCACCGAATTGCTGGAAACCAAGGTAGGTGGTGGCACTGCACTGGCAGACCTAGGAGCTGCTTGGATACAATCCGCTTTCATGACTGAGGCAAAACCGAGCGGATCACCGGCCACCGTCATGCCTGGGGCAGAGGCAAGGCGTCTTCTTAACGCTCGTCCTTGCCTTGCCAAGTGCCCTGGTCGCGTTCTGAGAGGCCCGCGAGACTCTTCCTTGCTCCGGTCTCCCGTGGAGGGTTTTGGAGGAGGTTTTGCACCTGGCGCTCTGAGCAGAAGAGTCCGTTTCTGAAAGCCTCCCGCTGGCCCGCTCCATGCCCCTCAGCCGGTTCCCGCTCCCTCTGCCGGGCCCAGCCGGGGGCTCCGTCCCAGCTTCCCAATGAGAGGCTGGAGTTTTGCCAGATCAGCTTCCCAGGCTTTTCCTCCCCACCTCCCCCCCCTCCCCCCCCCCCCCCGCGAACTTGGCAGGCATTTGTTGCACATTCAGCTGTGCGGGGAATTAGACAACCGTTGTTGGCACATTCCGCCACAGCCTCTTTTCAGCAATTAATTAATTAACACTCTCATTATGCCCCGAGCACCCGGGAGATTATCAAATGGTTTCCAATAAACTCTCAGAGAGGATTTGTGTGAGGGGAGGAAAGCAACAATCCCAGTGTCGCCTCCACCTCTCCCAACGCTCAGACGGAGCCCAAAGGGGCCGAGGGTCTCCCTGCTGCCCCATCCCTCCCGGCTGAAGGGAATCTGGTTTTCCCAGAGTCCCAGCGAGCCCCTCGGTCATGGCGGTGCAGCCCCACTGGAAGCCAGTAGCCAGCATGGGTGGAGTGAGATTATCTCTCTATCATTGCATCCCTCCTCTCTCTCTCTCTCTCTTTCTCTCTCTCTTCCTTCCTCTTTCCCTCCCTCCCTCTTCTCTCTCTCATCATCTATATTACCCATCTATCCATCCATCCATCCAATTGCAGAGGTTGAGAAACGTCAGTCGGTCGGTCGGTCTGCCTTCCTGACTGTCCCAGTCTGCCTTTGCTCTCAGCCCCTCCCCCCCCCCCCCGGGGGAACCCAAGTTCCGGGCAAAACAACGGGCGATTCTCCTATTTATTTCCTTCCCTTCCCTGGGGCGGGGGTGAGGCGGGGGGTCCCTGGAGGAGGCTCCCTCCCACCGCTTGTTTCTGCTCTGTTGAGGTCATAGACCTGACGGCGGAATTGTCGGACGAACGCTTGAAAGGAGACGTCGCCTGTCAGGCGCTGGATGTAGAACGTGCCGAGAGGCTGCGGGCAGCGAAAGAGGCCAGAGAGCTGCAGGTGCATGGGGGGGGGCGTGTTGATGGGTGCAGAGAGGCTACCAGCGGTCCTCATCCCTGGCACCACCGAGGCAAATTGCCTGCCAGCGATCCTCACCGCCTCTCCCTGCAGCCATAACCTCGTCTTGGCCCGGCAGCTGCCCTCCTTCCAGCCCCCCTGGGGTTCGTTCATTGCGTTTGCGGTCCGTCCCCACCCCCTGTCTACCTGGGGGACCTCAAAGCGGGGCCTGAATGCACCAGGCACGGACACTGCTGGGCTCAGAGAGTTTGGCCGCCACAGCATCCCCTCGCTCTCCACCTTCGTCTTGGAGCAGCGGCTGGAAAGTCAGGAGAAGGAGGAAGCCGCGCCGAGCCCTTCCTTTGGGGTGGCAGTTCAGGCCTGATGGTCCCACCACCAAGGAGGCCCCGCTGGAGCCGCTGGCTCAGCCCGAGAAGGAGCCGCACGGAGGCCTATTCCGGAGAGGGTAGAAGTGCGCAGGAAGGCCCGTCTGCAGCTGAGAAAGCCCCACGGGAGTGGAGGGGGTGGGGAGGCCAGGTCTGGCTCTCCTTCCCTCCTCCAGAAGGCCGCCTCCGAGCGCCCCCCGGCTCTCCCTAGAAAGGGATCTTCCCGCAGGCAGCCATGCTTCCCTGGGAGGGAGCTCCAGCCTCTTTCGGGGACTCGGCCTTCCGGGGCTGAAGAGGCGGATTTCTTCCGACACGCCTCTTTCCTTCCAGGCCAAGCAGCTGCAGCTTCAGAAGCGGCTGGAGGAGGCCGAGAAGCAGCTGGGGGAAACGCAGCAGCAGCTTCAGCTCCGAGAGATCGAGGCCAAGAGCTCTGGGAAAGGTGGGAGGCAGGCCCCCCGCCCCCCCCCCCAGCATGTCAGCAGGATCCAGGGCGGCCCTGAGCTGGCGTGGATGGGGGCTGCCCTCCCCCCCCCCAACACCCAGCTAGCTTGGGCCTCTGGGGATTGCGGGGCGCCTGACAGCTCTCCCAAGCGACACCCGTCTCTCCCGTCCTTTCGAGGGGCGGAGGGGGGCAGCTGGAGCCGTGGGGGCGCCGGGGTCTGTCAGTCCGAGTCAAGCCACAGGCGCCCCGACTGCCCCAGATCTGTCAGGACGCCTCGGGAGCCAGCCGGCTGAGCGCAGCATCCAAGGTTAGGGCCGGTGTGAAAGGCGGCCGGCTCCCTCCAAGCAAGAGCTGCCTGGGAAGGTTTAGAGACTTCCGCACTGCTGGGCTCTGAGACCCTCTCAGGCCCACGAAATCCCGGCTCACGGGGCGCCTCGGACCCATGTGACCCAGAACTCCTGGGGCTCATTTTTAAGGCTGCAGAGGGTCCCTGAGGCCAAAGCGCTTGAGACGGGCTGCTCCCTTTCTGGCGGTCTGAATTGCGCAGGAGGGCAGTGCATCCCACTGGGGGGGGGGGCTCCCTTTGGGTGGGTGCCAGCAGCCCCCCCGGGGTTGGGCGTGGGAGGCCGGCTGCGCAAATGCGGATCCTCTCACACCGACAGGGCACGAGTGGCAGATGCGCCTGGACTGCGCAGAGACCGAGGCCGCCTTTCTGCGGAAAAGGATCGCCCAGCTGGAGGAGAGGCTGGAGTGGGAGCAGCAGTCCAAAGTGGACATGGAGCAAAAGGCAGGCCACGGAGGGGGCACATGCGCGTGTAAACAGGCGTGTGGCCTTCCCGCCAGGGCCCCGCTGCTGCCTTTGGCCTCCCGGTGTCTCCCCGGGGGGCTTGGGAGTCACACCGCAGCACCCAAAGGCCTCACCTGTGCCAGGGACGACGTGGCTGGCGTGGGCAGCCCTAGGGGGCTTCCGAGCAGCCCTGCGGTGGGGGCAGTGTCAGGCGTGCGGCCCCCGTGGTGAGCCATGGAGAGGGACGGGCTGGGCGCTTCACGGGGGCCTCCCTGCTTTGCAGCTCAGCCAGGCCCAGCAACTGTACGAGGAGGCCAGGCGGTCAGCCCAGCAACTGAAGCGGAAGTGCCAGCAGCTGACCTGCGAGCTGGAGGACACGCGGGTGCTGATGGAGAACCAGCAGAGCCGCAACCACGAGCTGGAGAAGAAGCAGAAGAAGTCAGTCTGCCTCCCGCCAGGAGCCATCGACGCTCCACCACGCATCCTCTTTGGGCAGAATGAGGCGGGGGGGGGCACGTGTTAGGGGTCTTTCCTGGCCGGGTTCTCCCGTGAGCAGAGGGTCCAGGAAGGAGGGGCGTCCCAGGGGCCTCTCGCCCCGCTGCTTTCCCCAAACTGCTTTCCCCGACGGCAGGGAGGTTGACTCCTCCTTTCCTTGGGCCCAACCACGTTGCTTTCGCTCTTGGTGCTGGGACTTGGTTGCTCTCTTGTTGGTGCAGCAGCCAACTCTCGGCACTGGGGGGAGGGGGAGGCTGGGCTCCTGCCCCCAAAGTCCCCATTGCCTCGCAGGTTCGACCTGCAGCTGGCCCAGGCACTGGGAGCGTCGGCCTTTGAGAAGAGCCTCCGTGAGAAAGTGGCGCAGGAGAACTCCAGCCTCCAGCTCCAGCTGGGCAGCCTGCGGCAGAGGCTGGAGGTAAGGCCCGGGGGGGGGGGGGGGGGGGGGGGGGGGCGGGCCCCCCTCCCCCGGGGCGGCCCCCCGGCGCCCCAAAGGGGGGGGGGGGGGCTGCTGGCAAGACCCCTGGACCTCCGCCCAGGCTCCAGAAGAGGCTGGCTCTCCCAGGTCTTCTGCACACACTTTCCTGCTCTCCCCCCCCTCCCCCCCACAACCTGGCAGCAAAAGGAGCTGGAAAACGAGGGCCTGGGCCAGCGGGTCGCAACGCTCAGCTGCCAAGTGGAGGAGCTCAGCAACTCTGCCAGCCTGGACGCCCCAGCCGCCCTGCAGAAGAAGCTGTGGGACCTCGAATCCAGGACCCGGGAGCAGCAGCAGGAGCTGAGCCAGCGGGCCAGGGCTGTGGAGCAGCTGGAGCAGGTGAGGCTCCCTCCTTCCTTTCTGCCGGGGGCACCAGCCCACCCGGAGACCTGCTCTCCCTCACCCTGGTTGTCCCCTCCAGCTCCACCTGAGGCTGGAGCTGGAGATCGAGCGGACGAAGCAAATTCACCAGAAGAAGCTGGAAGACAAGGAGGAGGAGCTGGAGGACACCCGCCAGTCCTGCCAGAAGCGGGTAGGGCCTGCCGGGGGGGGCGGGGGGGGTCTCTCTGGGTGCGTCCCCTCCCAGCCAGAGGGGCCCCCTCATGCCTCCCTTTGGCTCGGCTGCAGCTTCGCCAGCTGGAGATGCAGTGTGAACAGGAGTGTGACGAGAAGCAGAGCCTCCTGCGCGAGAAGCGGGATCTGGAGGGCCTGGTTGCCACCCTCTGTGAGCAGGTGAGCGAAGCGCAGCCACCCGGCGGGCTCGGCGGGCACCTCCAGCACCGAGGTTCTCCCGCTGGACTCGCCCCTGACAGCGGCGCCCAGAGGCTGCACGCTCTGCAGGCCCAAATACAAGCCCCCCACCCCTTCCTTCCTTCCTTCCTTCCTTCAGATCGGCCACCGGGACTTTGACGTGGAGAAGCGACTCCGCCGCGACCTGAAAAGGACCCACGCCTTGCTGGCAGATGTCCAGCTGCTGCTGGAGACCTCTGGGGCAGACCCGGGTCCGCCAGGGAGCCAGGAGGAGTGGGCCCAGCTTCGCAGGCAGGTGAGGAGTCGAGCCTCTTGGCCTCCACACCAAGGTTGTGAATCGATGCTAAGCTTGAAGGAAAAGCTCCACCCTTGACAAGCTTCTCCCGGCCCTGGAGATCCCAGCCGTTCTTTGATGACCCTTGACCCCTGAGCGGCTCCCTTTCCAAGGAGTGCCGAGAGGCAGCTTCCTCCAGAAGGGCGTGGAGTGTAATTAAGGCCACTCGTTGATTAACGGAGGGCGTTAGCTGGTTGTAATTACCAAGCCTTGCCCTCGGCATCTGTTATTGGGAGGGGCTGGGGGCTCGGGGACCCTCTGAACAGCGGTGTAGTTGCTGGGGGAAGCTGAGGGGGGGCGTGGGGGAGGCTCATAAAAGGCATCTCCAAAGTTGGAGCTCCTGGCAAGCTTCCCCAGCCACGGAGGGGGCCCGGCGGGGCTGTTTGGGGGTGGAGAGCCCCTGGGCTGGCTTTGGATACAGCGGCAGAGCTGACGGGCCCCGGGGCAGGCGGGGCTGGCTGGGAGGGAAGCCGGAAAGGAGGCGGACGGTCTTGGAGACCCATCTGATCCCTGAAAGTGGGGGCGGGGGGGGTGCATGCATGGCTGGGGCCTCCCCAGGAACAGTAATTCTAATTTAGCTGCACAAGCATTCTGGAGACATTCAATAAATGATCCCCCTTGCTTGTTTCCATCGAAAACACACCATTCCGAAGATGCAAGCAATTACGTTGGTAATTGGGATAATAATTCTGTGTAAACAGCATCTGCGAACTGCAGATGTTTCTACCTGGTTTGGCAGAAGCGGGAGGGGAGTTGCAGGTCCCTTCGGGGGCTCTGGCCCTGCCGCCCTTCAGGCTCTAGGTAGATGCCTCCCCTTGGCACGTGTGTGTGTGTGTGTGTGTGTGTGTGTGTGTGTGTGTGTGCAGGTGATGAGGGAGACTGGACGACCCCTTGGCCTGCCCCCTGCCTGCTGCAGCTCCTCCCTCCCTTCGGTTCGGGTATGTGGTTGAGAGGGGAGAGAGAGAGAGAGCCACCTGCCCCACCCTCAGCTCTATCTCCAGTCTGGTCCGGCTCTCACAGAGAATTGGGCCTTTGGGGAGAGACCCTGAACTGAGGGGCTCCTCCTCTAATTCCCCCCTGTTTTTTCCAAACGGCGCCAGTGATTCACTGCGCTGTAATGCCTGTATCTTCCCAATAGGGGCCACTGCAGCGCAGTGTGCATAGCTACACATGGGAGGGCCGGGAGGGCAGCCGCCAGCGGAGCCCTTGGGCTGTGAGTTTGTCTCCTGCCTGTTGTCTGTCCCGCCAGAGGGACCATTGGGTGAAGCCCCAGGGACTCTCTTTGGCTAGGTGCCTTTAAATGCCTGGGGATTGGGGTAGACTGCTCCTGGGTGTGGAAGAGCCACTTATCCAGAAGGGGGCAGGTGAAAGGCCCCCAGGAGGTCCGGCTGTTGCTGTCCCCCTTTCGCTCCCTCTAGACAGGCGATGCAATTGGGGGAGGGAGGCGCTAGGAGCCCTCTGGGCAGCAGCCCCTCGTTTGCTGGGCCTGCGATCCATGTGAATTTCAGCCCCCCCCCCCCAACTGGTTTCTCCTTTCCACCATCCCTGGGAGGTTTAAGCAGCAGGGAAAGGGGGTGGGGGTGTGTGGCTGGGGGGGGGTGCTGAAGGAGAAACTCCCCTCAGCTGCCGTCCTTCCCTTTCCCGGAGCCCCTGGGGAGGGGAGCCTGGTCAACGTGCAGCAGAGGATTGAACAGATGGCAGCGCTGCCAACTTAACACGTTTGATCTGTTCATACATTATGTATCCTTTTTGATGGGAATTTCAGTTTGTTTGCTCCCAAGTGGGAAAAATTTATTATGCAGATTTAAAAGGGGTGGGGGGGGAGAGAGAGAGGAGGAGGAAGCAGAACAGACCAATGAAGGGCTGGGGGGGGGGGAAGGCAAGCGTGGTGGGGGTGGGCTAAAGCTTCCAGGACAGGCCACCAGACATTCAGAGCTCGGGGGGTTCACGGTCTGAATGACGGGGGCAGAAGGAGAGCGCTCTGCCTGGCCCCAAATCCGTTTCCCTTCCCAAATTGGGACAAGCCAGACTGCAGAAACATTCGGCCACCCAGCCACGCCAGCGCTTGGGCGAAAAGGAGGGTGGAGCCCCTGGAGATGGGGAGGGGGGCAGCTGGCTCAGCCCGTAAGCGTTAGGGGCTCCTTCTGCCCTTAGAGCCTGTGCCCACCTCTGGGTTGGCACTGCCGCGGGCAGAGTCCTCTTTCCGCCCTGCCTCATTTTCCCCGCAGGGAGAGACCTCGGCTGTGGGGCGCTGGGGCAGCCGAACCGCAAGGCAGCTCCCAGGGCTCCCTTCAGGCCTGCCAATGACCCGGGAGCCCCCCCCCCTGCAAAATGTTCTGCTGCTCCTCCGGTTGCTCAGGGTGGGCTATCGGCTATGGCCCCTGGGTGGGAGGCTTGAACGGCCACCTCCAAGGCCTCGGCATGAGGCTGGTTTTAGGGCAGAAATTGGCCGCCGAAACGGCCAGACGCTCCTCCACTGCAGAGCCGGCCTGAGCTGGCCTAGAGAAGGGGGAGGGGGCTGCGCAGCCCGACCTGGGTGGGGCTGCCCCAGAGTGGAAGAGCCTTTTGGCCTCCCGGGTTTGTACCAGGTGGTTGCAGTCGATGCTGCTCCAGAAACAACCGTTTATAAATTCTGCCTTGCAGATTGCTTTAATCTCTGCAAATTGGAGGAGATTCTCCTCATTGGCTAATTAATGAGCCCGGCTCTTCAGCTCAGCTGCCATGAAAGAAGCGTGGCCCCCTCCCTCCTCCTTCAAGGTGCTCCCACCCAGGCAGGGAGGAAGAGGAGGAGGAGGAAGCGCCCCCCCCCCCACCAGTTCCCTTGCATCAGGGGCTAAAGCCAGGCTTAGCTCCTGGAGAGCCCAGAGGGACACCAGCAGCGGGGAGGGGGGGGCGGGGGGTGTTTAAAGGCCGGCCGGGCGGCGGCATCCACAGCTGTCCCTTCGTCCCCCTCTGCCAGTGGGAAGAGAGCGCCGCCAGGTGTGCCGAAGCCCAGGAGTCTCAGAAGATGCTGTCCCTCGAGGTGGAGAATTTGCACTCAGAGCTGGAGACAGCCACCAGGAACAAGCACTTGGTACTGGACTGGATATTTGACCCAGGCGCCTCCCCCCCCGTCCCCCCCGAAGCCCCCGCTAGAGGCCCTGCTGTGTTTCCTGCAGGTGGACGAGCAGCTGTACCAGCTGCAGCACGAGAAGGCCGACCTGCTCAAGCGCTTCGAGGAGGACCAGGAGGACCTGAACGAGCTGATGGCGAAGCACAAGGCTCTGATCGCACAGGTGAGGGGGTGGGCCCAGGACCCCTCCCCCCCGGGCACAGACTCCCCATCTCTAGGCCTCCCACCGGGCACCCCGCGGGCCCACAGAGCCCCCTCCCTCCTTCCCTCCCTCGACACAACGGGAAGCTCTGCATTTCCAAGGGCCTCCCCTCCCCTCCCCTAAAGCCCCCCCGGGGAGCAACCCCCCCCCCGCTCAGGTAGAAGGCAGAGCTGAAGGGAACATCGGGGGGGGGTCAGGATTGATGTCGCTGGCCAACTTGGACAGATTGCCCCCCCCTTGCCGAGGCTCAGCCAGCACGTCCTCCTCCCTACCTGCCCCCCCGCCCCCCCTCCGGTGGCCGCTCAGAGGTCTTGGCTTCTCTCCCCCCCCTCAGTCGGCCACAGACATCGCCCAGATCCGAGAACTGCAGGGGCAGCTGGAGGAGCTGAAGAAGGAGAAGTGGGTCCTGCAGGAGAGAGTAAGTGCCGGGACTGCCTGCCGGTTGAGCTGGGGGCCTGGGCAGGGCTGGGGGGGGGGTCGGGGGGGCTGGCCGGGAGGTCAGCGGGTGGAGCAAAGGCCTTTCTGGAGCTGAGGGGGGAGGCTCCACTGCTGTCCGGCTCTCTGGGAGGAGCGCAGGGCTGCTAGGATGAGCCGGAGAGGGCGCAGGGGAGCCCCGGCCTGCCCCACCGTGGTTTGGGGTTGCTCCCCTCTGAGTCTTCATGCTGCTTTGCTGCAAAGCCGCCCCATTTCCCCCCCCCCGAGAACCGTGCTTGTGGGGGGGGGGGGGCGCCTGGGCTGAGGTCCGCCTTCCCTTCTGCTCTGCCAACAGCTGCAGGCGGCCCAGGCCAGGCTGGCCCACCTGGAGCAGGCGACGGTGGAGCGCTCGATCGTCAGTCGCCAGGAAGCCCTGATCTGCGACCTGGAGAGCAAGATGGAGTTCCAGAGCGTCCAGATCAAGCGGTTCGAGGTGCGGCGCTGGTCGTACTGGGGGGCAGGGAGGGGCTTCCTGGGCGGGGCTTGCTCAGCTCCCCTGGGGCCTCCGGCTGCTCCCCGCAGGTGCTGGTGCTCCGTCTGCGGGACAGCGTGGTCAGGATGGGGGAGGAGCTGGAGAAGGCGAAGGAGAGCGAGGCGCGCGAGAGGGAGAACGTCCACTACTACCGGCTGCGGCTGGAGGAGATGAAGGCTGACCGGAGCGAGTTGGCCCAGAGGGAGCTGGAGGCCAGTCGCAGGCGGGTGGATCTGGTAAGAGAGGCCTGGCCTTGACCAGCAGCAACCCCGGGGCTCCTCCGGCCTCTTCAGCACCCAAAGGTCCGGGGGGGGGGGGGGGAAGGGGCCCCAAAAGCCCCCCCGGGTCAGGGGGGGGGGGGGCGAGGCGGCCCCCCCCCCCCCCCGGGGGCCCCCCCGCGCCCTCGCCCGCGCGGGGGGGGGGGGGGGGGGGGGGAAAGACGGCCTCAAAGCCTCCTCGGTTTACAGGGGAGGCAGGCAAGAGGCTGCCTTGCACCCCCCATCCTGGGAGGGTTGATGGCCGGAGGAGGACTTGCAATAGGTGGGGGGGCCTTTATTGACTTGGGAAGCCGAGGTCCCTTCTCCCTAGCGGAGAAACACTTCCGTCGTGGTTTGTGCCCGTTACGCAGCTGGGCTGCTTTCTTGCAAGGACCCTGCTGGGGAGCCGGAAGGGCCGTCCTGCCCCGCTTCTTTGGGCCCAGCGCCAAGAGGGGCAGCTGCAGAGCCCCCGGGCTCTCTGGGGCCTCTTCTACCCAGCGGGGCAAGAACGCCATAGTAGCTACTCCGAGTGTAGCTGGCCGAGGACTTCCCAGGGGTGTGTGGAGGAAATGTAGCGGGCAGGATCGTGTCTTTATTCCTGGGTAGCTCCAGGAAGGTGGCACCTTGAGCTCTCAAGTCCCGCTCATCCTTACGTGACAGTGTGTGAAACGCTGCCCACATCCCCCCCCCGGTCTGGGCACCGATTAAAGGCGCCAAGGATGCCTTCGGCAAACCAAACCCGTGGTGGAGGAGCTGCAAGAGAAGGGTCTGCCAAGAGAAATTCTCTGCGGGAGAGAAAGCAGAGAGTCTGAGCAAGACATGAGCAACCTCCGCCTCCTCCTTCACCGCCCTTCTCCTCGGCTCTCGGGCCTTCCTCGTCGCTCAGTTTTGGCTTCATGGCTGGAAAGAGGGAGGGCTGAGGAGCAGCAGGGCCTGAGCTCCTGGGAAGTGCTCCATCCCTGCCCCCCCTTCGGAGGGCAAGCGGAGGGTTGGGGGGAGATCCGGAGGGCTGGGGGGAGCCTCTTTGTCTCTGCCACAGACCGCAAGGGACTCAAGACAGCTGGGGAAATGGCAGCTGCCCCCTCCGCGGTCTTGCGGGAGGAGAACGGGGGGGGGGCTCTTTCCCAGCCCCAAAGATTGGCTTGCACCAGTTGCAGCCGTGGGCTTTGCTCTGAGGATTAGCCACAATTAGCCCTCCCCACCTCGCCTGAGCCTCTCTCATTTCACCCGCCGAAAAAGGTGGAGAGTGAGCGAGTGAAATCCCAGGACGTTCAGTGGCCGAAGTAAAACGTCTTCGACTTCGGACCGTTCAGATCCGTAGGCAGGGAGGCTCGGATGCTGAGGACCCAGCAAGGGTCATGCTTGGAAGGAAGTTGGACCGCAGCTCCCTTGCTGGTTTGTGCCTCCCGGGCGGCTCCGGCTGGTGGGCAAAGGCTTTGCCAGCCTGGTCAGGTGGAGCGAGGGGGTGGGCTAGAGCCAGTTCCCCCAGGGCCAAAGAGGGGATCTGAACGGCGGCTCCTGTTGGCAGCTGCTGCGGCAATGAAGGATCTTCCCTGCAGGGACGAGGGTTAACCGGTTGTCTGCAAACCGTGCTGTGAAACGGTGCCAGGGGAGCAAGGCCAGGAAACGGGCCCTTAGATCGGAGAAGCGTTTCGGCCGAAGACCCCGTAGAGACAGGCGGCTGGGGACAGTGGGGCGCATTTCCTTTTCTGTGCTGTGTTCCGGTTGTTTCTATGGGGTTGGCCAAGGCCCATTTTCTAAGGATGAAAAACGGGACTCAGCCGGTGGCAGTGCGAGAGAATTCCTTGTTCTGAAGTGCTTCGGCCCAGCGGTGCCAGCGGGGGCTGGGGGCACAACCGGATTGGCGCTGCGGCTTCAGGGCAGAGCAGACCCCCCAAGGGGCTTGTGCAAAGCAGCCATGGTCAGCTTTGGGTTAAACTGGGAAAACGGGGTAAAGCAATAACCGAGTTAAGGCCCCAGTTGTGTGACTGCGTTGTCTTCCCGCCTGCCTCCCTGAAAGAGCTTTGGAGGCCCCGCAGGTTCCTCTCCGGAGGGAGCGCCGTCCCCGGTCCTGCCCCCCCCCCCCCCCCCTGAATCCCCCTCCCGTTTCCCCAGGAGAAGCAAGTGGACGAGCTCTTGGCGGTCAGGCAGACTTTGCAGGCAGACCTGGAGACCTCGATCCGGCGTATTGCAGACTTGCAGGTGGCTCTGGAAGAGGTGCAGTCGAGCGATGAGAGCGAGACGGAGAGGTGAGTGCGCCCGAGCCCAGCCCTCCAGTCGCCTGGGCAGCTTCTGCCCGCTTCCAACCAGGCCCGGCCTTTGCCCAGCCGGCCACTTTCAGCCAGAAAAGCCGGGAAGCCCACCCAGGCCCCAGCTGAACGCTGCAAGAACCCCAACTGTTAGTGGGGTGCAGCGGCAGTTCTCCCCACCCCCTGCTTTGGGAGAAGGATGGATAACTGACTCCAGGATCTAGACCAGCTGGGGGGGGGGGGGCTTTGTCCTGGACAGGGGTCTCTGCCCTGGGCCCCAGGTCTTGGCCTGCCCTGGCTGCGTTCCTTCGAGGCCTCTGCTTAATGCTAGGCCCCATTCCAGCCTCCTTTTGCTTGAGGTCCAGCCACTTTCGTGGGGGCTGGGAAAGTGAGCCAGGCTGCCTCCCCTCCTCGACTGCACCCCCCCCCCCCCCCCCCCCCCCCCCCCCGTTCTCCAGCTCAGCTCCGGCTCTGTGTACTGAACAGGAGAGGGAATTGATCCCAGGAGCCAAACCCACAAAGGGAACCTTTTCAACAGCACACCGCCTAGAATGACATAGTGTGTGTGTTTGTGCGTGTGTGCGTGTGCGTGTGTGTGTGTGTGTGTGTGTGTGTGTGTGTGTGTGTGTGTGTAAAGACTGGGGCGATTGTGATCTGGGCCTTGCTGAGCTGCTGAGTGTGACTGAAATGGAAGCCAGGGAAAAAGGAAGCGGGGGGGGAGGGGGGGCAGGCCTGCTTCCCTCAGGGCAGCTAAAGGAAAGTCCAGCAATGGCGGAGGAGGAGGAGGAGGAGGAGGAGGAGGAGGAGGAGGAGGAGGAGGAGGCGTTCCCTCCCCGCTGAGCACAGCTCCTTCCTCCGCCTTGACGTCACTCCGGCTCGCAGGATGATTTTCCTTGGGGGTAGCAATGATTAAGCCCGTTAATAGAGCATTAGCAGCCCTGCAGGACGGCTCATTTCCCCCCAGTCCACTCCCAAGTTTTGAGGAGGAAAAGAGAGAAACGCAGGTCAGTTTATCTAATACTCATAATGCCAACGTCCAGGTGTTTATACATTTGGTACAGACAAAAATCAACCGCATCTGAATTTTCAAACGAAAGGGATGCTCAGAGGATTAAAAAGGGGGGGAAAAACCCCAAAACTTAGTGCCATTTTTGACCCGCCACCCCCGTCCTGGGAGGCTGGCCTCAGTTCCCCTGCGGGAATGTGGGTGAGTGCGGAGGGGCCACTGGGACCCAGGACTGGTTTCTCTTTCCTCGCAGCGTCCAGACGGCCCAGGATTCCCTCGCTACCCGGCAGGAGACGTAAGTCGAGCCGAAGAGGGTCCTGGCTGGGGCTGCCGGGGGGGGACGGGGACGGGGACGCTGCAGGGCAAAGCCCATTGATTGGCGGATTAGATCTTCGTAGATTTTGGATTTATTCCATTTTGCAGAATTCACCCCTTTCCAGACTCTGCCTCCTGAAAGTGGGTGGAGTTTCTCCGGGCAGTTCAGGGCAGCGATGGCAGAGCCGGCTGGCCAAAAGATGCGTTGGCTTCTGCCAGGCTGTACACGGGGGGGGGGGGGGGGGGCCGGGCCGGGGGGGGGGGGGGGGGGGGGGGGGGGGGCGTCACTGGCCAGGGTGCCTGTGGGTGAGGGAGGGTCTGCCCTGAGCTTGCCCTGTTTCCCGTTCAGGGCGATGCCACTGGGGGAGAGGCTTTCACAGCTTTCAGACGGATGGACTTCAACTCCCAGAATTCCCCAGCTAGCATGAGGGTGGTGCTTTCAAGGGACAGATCGCTGGGGAATTCTGGGAGATGAAGTTCACACCGCTGAAAGCTGCTGAAGTTGAGAAGCAGCCGTGCAGATGTCCAGATGTTTGCAAGTCTTTTGCCAGGTCCACATCTTGGACTCAGCAACTTAAATCCTAATCCCAATAATTCATGAAATGGTGTGGAGGCGAGCCCCCCCCCCCCTTCCAGAGGGACACAGGAGGAGGCCGAAGCTGCAGCTCGCCCTCCCTCCCTCTCCTCCTCCTCCTCCTCCTCCTCCCTGCAGTGAGAGTCAGATGAGCCTGGCTTCGACTTCGTCACTGAGCTTACATCTGGAGTCTGAAGGAAGCGTCCGGTCATGGCTGGAGACGGGGTCAGGCTGGACGTCCCCATCAGCTCCCAGTCTGGCTGGAAGCAGCTCTCAGCTGTCGCTGGATGGCCGGAGCCTCCCGAGCCTGAGGTGAGAGGGCTTCCAAGGGGGCAGGAGGGCCCCGGGGCCCCGCGGGCAAAGGCGGCCTCCCCTGAGGCTGGGTCCCACTCTGGCCTAGAGGTGGGGCCTCTGCAGCCCCCGGGCATGGGGTCCCCTCTGGAAGGGAAGCCCCCCTCCTCAGCCCACAGCCTGAGACGCTTGACACTCTCCGTGTGGGGCCCCGGCCAGCACTTGGCTCTTGCACAGGGTGGGGGAGCCGCTTCCTCCGCTGTCAGCCTCCGCTGTCTCCCCGCTTCCAGGAGGCCCTTGGCAAGGGCGGCGTCTGCCTGGGGGCAGCGGGTGGGTGAGCTTGGGGCTCCTTTCAGCCTCTTTATCACCTTCCTATTACTGGCTGGGCTATGGACAATTTTGGGGGGTGGGGGAGTCGATGTAGATTTGGAAGGTTTGGGTGACAAGGAGGATGTGAAGGCAAGTGGGAAATTCCCTGGTCAGCTTTAGGAGGCGGTCAGTGAGAAGGAAGGAAGGAAGTTCTGATGGGGGGGACGCTGTGGGGCCTGGGTGGGGTGACTGCAGTGCCCCTGTGGGAGGGCAGGAAACCAGGCCCGGAAAGAGCAGAAAACGACCCCCGGACTCGCTTTGGGGCGGGGCGGCCACCCCCTCCAGGGTCCCTCCTGGTGCCCAGCAGCCCCTCGGAGAAGCTCCCCGTCCTGGTGTCCGTCTCCGGCCTTGCAGGAAGGGAAGCGAAACAGCCTTCCAAGCCCCTGGAGGAAGACCCGGTGGGCCCTGGACCTTCTGGTGCCACCGGAGGGCTGGAGCCGTGTGCCGTCATCCCAGGCAGGGCCGGCGTTTCTCGCCGGCACAAACCGTCGTGGCTGCTGCCGCTGCTGCCCGGCCTTTCCGATGCTCCGTCCCTCCGTGCTGCAATTACCGCTTCTTTCCTTTTGTCTCTGGACATGCTCTGTGCTTCAATTCCAGTACAGATATTATTGCATAAATTATTTCAACTAGCATAAGCATAATAATCATCCTAATTGCTGTGTAATCTTCACTAATTACTGTTGTATGTCATTTGTTTTGGTGCAGATTGCACACTGCAAAAATCCCGTTTGGCTCAGGGACGCTTTCCGATTCTCCCGTTAGGAGCTCCCTCCAAAAAACCTGGGGGTGACAAGAGAGGAAGGGAAGCTGTAGGGAGTTTCCTGGCTGGAAGGACGGACCAGAGAGGCGCTTTCTGCCCCCCAAAGATGGGGCTGCGTCTCCCCGGCTTGGCTGCGAAGGGTCCCCTTCCCCTTCCCCCAGGGCGGCTCCCTTGGAGGTCTCGCTCGGCCACCAAGCCCTTCGCCGGGCCCAGCCTTCCCTCCGCCTCTTGCTCCTTGTCTCAAGAGGTTTCCTGTCCCTCCGGCTTCCCAGTTGCTGGTGGTCTCCCTCGGGGTGGTTGCAGGGGCAGGTCCAGGCCCACCCGCCCGCCCTTCGGTGGGCGAGCCAGGTGAGGCTGCCCTGTGAGCCAGGCAGGAGCAGCATCGCCTGGCTGGGCAGCACGGAGCTCTGTCTTGGGGGGCCTGGGTGCATTTGGGACCCCCCTGCTGCCTATTGAGGTTCTCCGGGTGGGGGGAGAGCCTCCCCAGCCTCCTCTGGGGGCCCCCTTGAGGGACTGGAAGGGAGAAGGAGGGAGAGGACCCGTCTCGGAGGCAATAGAGCGGCAGGACGGTTCCCTGCCTGGGCCTCCCCTGCCTTTGCCAAGCCTGGCACCTGAGCCCATCCAGGGCCTGTCCCATGTGGGCCCTCTGGTGCTCTCTCTTCCGCCCAACCCGGCCCCCCAAGGCAGCCCGGGTGCTGTGGGAGAGGGAGGAGAGGGTGCCAAGCGGGGGCGGGATAGGTGGGGGGGAGAAGCAGAGCCAGGCTGGGCCAGGAAAGCCAGTCACTCAAGGCCCCAGTGAGCAGCAGTTGGGGGAGGCAGCAGCAGGAGGCCCCACCTGCCCCACCTGCGGGGCCAATTTCAAAGCCCGGATCCCCTGAAAGGCCCCCAGGTGCTTCCTCTGCCCTGAGCCCGACTGGGGGGGGG